TTTGGACATATAAAAGACCTTTTGGACTATGCCTTTTGGAGAAAGGTACAGATTAGAACTTAGCTACCCAACAAAATTTTCACTCTTCCAAATGTTGCAATGTAAATTATATGAACTGTCCGTTTAAATATGTAATCTGAGAGCAATCACACACTTAAAATGCACTGTTATAGTTTGCTTTTCTTCTTAACATAGAAGCACTGATAACTGACTATGCTGTTTACGTTACCTAGCCTGGCTGGGAAAGCAGGGATCACAGTCAGCTGCCTGACTTCCAGTAGTTGCTTCTTACCCCATTAAGACTATATTACAATAAAAGTCTTTCAAACCAAGCCTTGAAGAAAGGGCACATTCATCTCCAAATTAAAATAATCATGTAATCCTTCAACCGACCAACTTATCTTTCATCACTCCATTTTCTTCCCCTTCATGACTTTATCTTCCTAGTTACAGCTCATGGCAACAATAAAATGCCACATTAAAGTATTCGCACTCATTTGTGTTTGCTCCTTTGTTCTTTTAATAGTGTTGGAAGGAGTCTGTACAGAAGCTCTATTAGACTAATCTGCAATCTGAGTGTTTGATCTCCTTCTGATTCAAAAAAAGAAGTGAGATGGTAATGAAGGCAGTGGGGTGGAAGGGCGGTTGGAAGGATCCATTGGAAAGAACTGCTTGACAAGGTCAATTAGTATGTTGCACGTGTGGAAGAATGACAGGCAGGCCCGGCTACTGATGATCTATCTTGAGTTCTGTCAGTGCTGCATTTTAGGATGGCTCAGGCTTGGGCACAAGAAGTGCTTCTCAACCTGCAAGGTTTCCCTGCTGAAACCTAGATTTGCATACTAGAAGCCAAGGTTCGATTCCTAAGATGTAACTAGAAAACGTGAAAGCCTGAAAAAAATGAATTGGGGGGGGGGTATCTGTTCCCCCCTACTTCCACAGGACTATTTTGTTTGTTTTTCTCCAAAAGTGGAAATACTGATAAAATGGGTTATGGCCTGTTTTTTTTTCCTTTCAGAATTATGAACACATGACAAGGTATTCACAATACCTAGCCCCCATTTTTCTGAAAACTATGCAATATATATTCATGCAAAACTGTGTACAGAATCACATCATTACAATTCTTGTGCACTGAGGACAAGCAAGTCCTAGGCTACTAACTGAGAATACAGTTCTCCAATGCAAGATGCACTTCTGTCTCCAGAGAACACCACCATTGCCACAAGAGAAGGAAGGACATTTCAATGTCTTCTTTACTTGTAGGTTTCCTCATGTTGGTTTAGTTGCTAGATCTGTTTCTGTCCTCTTGACTAGGCCTCAAGACTGGGAGAAAGTGCAGGGCAACAAAGAAGATCCAAGTATACTTATTTGAAAGGTTTAGATGAATTCTGAAAATTAAAACATATTTTAACTGCACTAGTTTATCTTCATAACCTTTATGGAAATCATAATTTAATTCCTTCTAATCTGATGCTTTCTTGTAACACCCCCTGATAGTTTGGCGTCTACTTGAAAGCTGGCCACTAAATTATTTTTTCTTTACCTCTCTTCAGCAAAATGTTGAGATCAACAGCTAGCATATGGAGGCATTCCCACACTGAAAGTTCATCTGAGAAAAATGCAGTGTGCTTTGCAAATGCTGTCACATGAAATATGCATTTCCAAATGTTACTAGGAGAATAACATATTCAACGTATTCATATAAGAAGTATCGTGTAGACATGAAAGAATCTCTCACAGATGTAAGCACGGAAGACCGTAGTGATGAAAGTGCAAGCAGGTTTCCCACCATTCTTGTTCCAGAAGTCCTCTTTCCACTCCTATAATATGAGTGTCATCACAGCAACATGTTCAAATAAACAAACACTGTAAGCAATTGCATCAAAAACCAAAAACCTCAGTAGCTTCCTCTGGAAACAAGACAATGCCTAAAGATAGTGGGGGAGATTGCCATCCTCTTGCAAGAGCAACATGTGCTTTTGGGACCCCATTGTTAATAACTGAAAATGCATACTGGCAAGAAGTTTTTAAATACTGTTTGTATGTTGGCAGGAAACTATGGTACTGTTTGTCCAGCAGACATTCTTTGAGCAAGTCTTAGAGTACTTACAGAGGAATGGACAAATGGGAAGGAGGAAGAAATCACAAATGTTGTGACAACAACACCTTGGCCAGTTTTTTACACGAGAAAACAGGCAATCTTCAGAGCAGATCAGTTGTAAAATATGTAAAGTCCTACAGACATTGAGAGTGATAAAGCATTTGCTTTGCTGCCTGATGATGCAAGTAATATGAAAGTGGCATGGGAGATCGTAATGAATAAATTTCCACATAAAGCTGCATTTCATGAGCTAAGCTTGCTTCTTAATGACATCATGAAAATGCACACCTCCAAAAGAACTGTAGATGAGTAGTATAAAACATAAAGAAGCTACTCATACTGTCGCTGCAGTCTTCTAGAAGAAGCAAGGTGAAAAGAATGCTAAGAATAAGCTAAGAATACTTCAGACACTGAAGCTCTGTAGCAAATACATGTATTTTTGTAGTTATTTATTTACTTGTTGGAAGCCGCCCCAAGGCTTATGCGAAGGGGGCGGCGTACAAGAATTCCAAATAAATAAATAAATTTCATGAAAGAGAGTGGTCATCTCCTTTGCAATGTTACTAAAAAAACAAAGAAGCCCTTCAAGAAACAGTAACAGGTGAGGATCTTAAGGTACTGAGAAATGTAAGCAATACTGTAATCAATAAGGATGTTTTCTGGGTTCAGCTGCAGACCTTCCTGGAAATTCCAAAGCCCGTGCCTTCAGCAATTACTGCATCTGAATCAAGACAGTGCACTTTCATCAGATATGCCTTACAAAATGGCCAAGATAAAAACAACTGTTTTCAAGGACCTGTGTGTGCTTCCACTTTCAGGTACAGAAGAGGGAAACATGGGAACTTCATTGAAAAAGTAACATTTTTGTTGCCATCAAATTCATGCTGTAGGAGGGGAAGAAATGAACCACAAGCACATGGAGAGGCATGATAACAGGTTGGAGAGGATCAAGTACCAAAACATAAGTTGCACTTTCTGGAGAAAAACCCTGTGCTTAGGTATTTCTATGCAGATGCTAGAAGCCACAGGGCCAAAACAGGAAAGGTGGAGTACCTGGTGTTAAAGGAGAAGCTGGATATAGTGGGCATTATGGAACTTGGGTAGAATGGATAACGAGAGCAGGAGTGAGCGGCAGAGAAGCATATCAAGGCCCACAATAAAGAATTCTTTAAATGTATAAGAAGTGAGAAACCAGCAAGAGAAGCTGTTGGGGTAATGCATGTTAATGGATTTAAAGCAGTACTGATAAGATAAAAGATGTTGTAAAGAAGTTGAATTCTTTTCATCTGCCTTTGCAAAGGATAGAGAACAGATACCTGTTCCTGAGAGTATATATTCAGAAAAGGAATCTGAGGAATCAAAACAGATAGCTGTGAAAAAGTATGACTTCCCAAACTTAGTAACAGATTGAAAGTTCAGTACAGAAGAACCCAAAAGTACAGACTTGTTTATTTGACAAAGTGCAACCCTATCCAGAAAAGCAGATTTCTCAACCCACTGCATTTCCATCTTGTTGAACTCTCAGCTTGTTCATCCTCCTTGATCTCAAAACCAACCCTTCATACCTGTTCCAGATTCTATAAATTGTTTGAAAATGTCAGGTGAAGAGGTAGAATTACACATCATCAACATACTATTGTCACAGAAGACCAAACTTACAGAAATCTCTTGGGGTGTTTTGTGTAAATGTTTAAAAGGATGTGGGACAGGATCAGACCCTGAGAAACCATGTCAGCCAAAGGCCACATGGCAGACAGAAATCACAGCAGCGCTTTCTTGCAGTTGCCTGTCCAAACTCAGGCTGAGCCAGATTCCTTAATCCATCTTGGCATTTAGTACATCTTCAATAGCGTTGTCTCTCTTTGGAGCTAGTTATCACAGCACTCTAATGGACTGACTGAATTTTGAAAATGATAATAAGATGCTGTGTGATCAGTACATTCTTATGCCATTTCAGTATGGAAATATGCTTTCAAGGTTGCATGAAGATGCATTTCATGGGGAATAATACCCAGTGAAACTCAAGTCTAATTGAAGTAGCTTGTTCATCACTGTATTATGTCTTATAAACTCTGAACAATAAACAATAACTTTACTTAGTACAAAACAAGCATATTGCAATATTCTTCTATAGATAGCTAAAAGGAACAGGCCCTTTAATTTCATTTTTTTAACAAGACCAGTGCATTGCTATGAACAGCAAGAACATACTCAGGAAGGGGGGGGGCGTTTTTGTCACAGATGGGCTCCCCACTCTGAACTTCTACAGCTCCCCCCCCTTCTCAGTAGGGTCACTTCCATAAGACAGATAACGGAATACCCTCCCATGTGTTTTTAATTGCTATTAAGTAAACCAGACATGGAACATTAAAAGATGGATTATATTCTTCTGTTGTTCCAGCTTCTTATCAGATCACAGCATGCACTTTCTTGTACTTACGCAGTCTGAATGATTCACCATATGGCCAAGAATGGCAGTAAAACAAAACACAGCATTAAAAATGTTTTAATAATGTATAGGAAAGCTTGTTGTCTCAAGGATAGCATATTGGTAAGGATGGGAGAGAACAGTGCTGCATTCATAAATTCTACCCAGTGTTTCTCCTGGAGGTAGCAGAGAGAATTTTGCTGTGCTCTCATTTCTTGAGAAGGGAGCAAAGGGATGAAACGAAAGAGCCTGTAGCTCTGCCTAGTGGGGCATTCTAATTGACTCTGAAGTCATTAATCAGTTCCCAATCAATCTATTCTACCAGCAGCAGGCAGTTAGATCTCCATTACCTCCCATTTATCACACCATCGCCTAATTCACTGCACCATTAGCCACAGATTAGGCCTCAGTAAGGATAACTGTGTCAGCTCCCCGCTCCTTTCCTTAGAAGAAGCTGTTGTCACTCACTTCAGCCACTGGAATTCCTTCAGGTGGGCGACACTGGAGTAAGACTTCCTGCTCCAGAGAGACTTCCTTCCCCAGGGGTTCCTGCTCAAATGTCTTCCGCAGATCTAGAAAGGAAAGAAGTATTTCACTGTAGTATTTATTATGCTTAGCGCTGTGGAAGAATGTCATTTGGTCCTCATTTTTAAACAAACTGATCTAATTCACACTTCCAAGACTAATATGCAGTTCAGAACAAAGATATCTTTCAAACGGTGCACAGTTATGCTCTGGATTGAAAGGATGCAAAAGCTGCATATCAACAGCATGTATTATTGAAATGCATATATTAAAGAAAGTTGAGCACAAAATGTATAGTATATAAAATAAAGTTGCATATAAACATACTTCTTTGCCCAGTTAATTTTTTTGCGGGTTTCTGCAGAAATCCCAACAGAGTTATGATTGAATACATGTGAAAGTGATCGGTCCATCCTTAATTATGCCCTTACCTCAGCATTAGGAGGTATATAGTGTGGAGAGAGAGGGTTGTATGTGAAGATAATCCTAATTAGAGTAGATCCATTTAAATGAATGGGCCTTAAGTTAGACTAGCACTGCATACTGAGCTTGCATATTACAATGATTCCTAAAGCATAAAATATCAGTATTATACCTTTTTTGATAGTCTCCTCAGGGAAGACTAGACTAGTATCTGTGATGGGGCTAAGATTTTGTCCTCACTGACAGATGCAGTCAATTTACTTTGTTGCTTGAAAGTGAAAGGAAGTTGTTACATGAATATAAGAAAGGGGGACTTGGTGACCACATCAGCTATGCCTGTTGTGTGACTTTGCTTGTGGCTTAAAAATGAGATTGCTTGCATTTGCATAGCCTCATCCTGGATTGTTTGCTGGTCGCTGAATATCACAGAATCTTAGGAAACAGCTTTTGTATAGAAACAGATAGATGTGCAGAGAGATGTTATTCCGTATTTTGCAAAGCAATTGAGGATTTGAATGCCTGTCTCTCTGATTTGTTTTGGAAAGGTAATTAGTAATAATTTCTTAGCCAGTTAAAGTCACTGGTAAAATTTTCTGGATCATTTGCTAAGATGGCAAGATGCCATCTTGTTTTGTTGGCATGAATCCATAATTCACTAAATGAGTTGATGGGTAGACATCACTATTAGCAAATATATAACCTAAGGACTGCTCGTGATTAATTGCAAATCACAACTGAGCAGAATGGCAAACTACAGGAATAGTAAAACACTGCAGGATCAGCTTTGACTCCTTATGCATCGTTTTATAGGGGAAATAAAATGCAAAAAGCCATCTTTTCAGGGCCAAGTTAAGATGATGATGATGATGATGATGATGATTATTATAACATTTCTATGCCGCCCCTTGCCGAAGCCTCGGGGTGGCTTACAACACAATAAGATACATTGAAATACAATAGAACATAATAAATCACCACTAAATACAAAAATACAAAAAATACACTGAGATACAATAATATAAAATTAAAATTAACAGTATAAAATAAGTAAATAAAGAATATAGCAGGAGAAAAGATAGCCCTTTATGCTCAATATTTTAAACATATATTTTCCTATCCAGGGGCTTGACAGGATTACCCACTCCAGGCATGTTTATTTTCTTTCTCCACTGTCTGTTTTTAGCTGTTTTTGTTTGTTGTGTTTTTTCTTTTGATAAGGTTTTATGGCATTTTATGGTATGGTTTTTCTGTATTATTGTAAGCCACCCAGATGGCTTTGCCTATGGGGTGGCATAGACATGAAACAATAAATGCTATGTTCAATAGTGTAATCTAGTTGAATGTGAGGAGTAAGTCTACAAAGTCCATCTGAGGTTCTGCTTCTCCTTGGTGTATCACTGCTACCACCACCACTATTGCCAGTACCCTAATTGCTGGATTACTCCTTGGCAAGTTTGCCTTCAATAATTAAATGTTGGGCTTTTTTGGAGTTTTGCAGCCTACTGCCAAAAATTGCCATAGCAAATGAAAGGGGAGGCAGGGAAGCCTCCAAAGCATGCCTTCCTGTCCTGCCCAACTGGAGAGAAAAATTTATTTATTTATTATTTATTTAAAACATTTCTATGCCGCCCCCATCACAACAAAGCCTCGGGGCGGCTCACAAGGAATACATAAAACATACATAAATAATAATAATATAGCAATTAAAAGAAGAAGAAAAAACAAAACAAAAAAGCAACAACAACATTTAAAAACCCCCGGTGCATTCTCGGTTAAAAATTTTTAAATCCTAATTAATACAATAATTTAGCAATTAAAATAAGTTTTAAATAAAAAGGTCTTAGCCTGGAACTGAAAAACAAATAACGATGGCGCCAGGCGGACCTCTCTGGGGAGCGCATTCCATAGATGGGGCGCCACCGCAGAGAAAGCGCTCCTCCGGGTACTCACCCTCCTTATATCATTCACAGAGGGTTCCTGGAAAAGGGCATCTGTTGCTGATCTCAAGGGGTGGGAGGGCATATATGGGCGCAAGCGTTCCTTTAGATATCCAGGTCCCAAGCCGTTTAGGGCTTTATAGGTCATAACCAACACCTTGAATTGGACCCGGACTTCAATGGGGAGCCAGTGGAGCTGACGGAGAACTGGGGTTATATGAGAACAACGTCCAGTCCCCGTCAGCAGCCTGGCAGCTCTATTCTGCACCAATTGAAGTATCCGGACCATCTTCAAGGGTAGCCCCACGTAGAGCACGTTACAGAAGTCTAATCGGGAAGCTACCAGTGTGTGTGTCACTGTCGCCAGGCAGTCGTTCTCCAGGAAGGGACGCAGCTCAGCTGAAGCTGAAGGAAGGCGCTCCTCGCCACCACCGTCACCTGAGCTTCTAGAGACATCTCAGGGTCGAAGAGCACTCCTAAGCTGCAAACCCTGTCCCTCAGAGGGAGTGCAACCCATTTAGGACAAGGCCCAAGTCCCCCATCCCGAGGCCCGAGCCACCCACCAACAGGACCTTCGTCTTGTCTGGATTGAGCTTCAGTTTATTGGCCCTCATCCAGCCCATTACCTCAACCAGGCACCGGTTCAGCACAGCCACTGCCTCACCTGGATTGGTGGAAAACAAGAGGAATAGCTGGGTATCATCAGCGTACTGATGATTCCACAGCCCACACCTCCTGATGACCTTTCCCAGCGGTTTCATGTAGATGTTAAATAGCAAAGGGGACAAAATGGACCCCTGCGGAACTCCATGGCATAACTGCCATGGCGCAGAGCCATAGTTCCCCAGCACCACCTTCTGAAATCAGCCATTGAGATAGGAGCGGAACCACCGCCATGCGGTGCCTCCAACTCCCAATCCCGCCAGCCTATTCAGAAGGATACCATGGTCGATGGTATCGAAAGCCATTGAGAGGTCCAGGAGAACTAACAGGGGCTCACTCCCCCTGTCTCTCTCCCTGCACAGGTCATCGTACAGGGCGACGAAGGCAGATTCAGTGCCATACCCGGGTCTGAAGCCGGACTGAAATGGGTCCAGATAATCAGTTTCATCCAAGAGTGCTTGGAGTTGTCCCGCCACCACCCGCTCTAGCACCTTGCCCAGGAACGGGATGTTGGCCACCGGTCTATAATTGGCAGCCACCTCTGGATCCAGGGATGCCTTCTTT